TTGCAATGTTTTTTTCACTAAACTTTATTGTTAAATCTGTGCTGCTGGAGTTTTAGTAAAGAGAGATTATGCAAAATACAAAGCCTCCTGTCATGTTATAAAATTAACAAGTTGGTAGGACAGATTTATAACTAAATTAGGACTCAGAAATAGAATAATAGACGTGCTCCCAATCTCTATGATTCCAGATATGTTAGACAATATTAAAATAGATACTTGGATAATCGGGAGGATAAGGGAATTCAAATACGTTTTAATGGAACATAAAATTAAGTCCTTTGATCAAATTATGGAGGAATTTAATATCCCCCTTAAAGAAATCTTTAATTATTTGCAAATCAAGGGCTTTATAACAGAATACCTCTTGGAAAACAAGGGGGAAAAATATAAATCTTCTACAGTTACTTGAACTAAAGAATTATAAAAATCTGTTGGCAAAATGCGCCAAAGTTATATATTGATGGGGACAGGATAAACCAATAGAATTGATTAACAAATAGGAAAAAGAATTGCAAGTACATATACCAGAAGGAGAGTCGATAGGTTCTCTGAACAAATTATATAAATATATACATTGTCTTAACCTAACTGAAATATAATTCAAACTCTCTAGTAGATAGTACTTCACACCGAAACGTCTAAAGAAAATTTTCCCCGATTCATCAGATAGATGCTGGAAATGCAAAGTTATAGAAGGCGATTTGATCCAATTATGGTGGCATTGTGCACCCATAAACAAATTTTGGAAAGAGGTAATCAAGACAATACATCAAATAACAGAAATGAAATTGGTTTTAAAGCCTGAAGTGGTCCTATTAAACCTGAACTGGCCAAAAATTAAAAAAAATACACTAATGTTAATGCTGCATATCATCACGGCAGCCAAATTACTTTAAGCGCAAAATTGGAAAAACAGGGATAATCAAGCATTCAAGAACTAATCATACAAGTCATTTGGCAGGTAAAAATGGAAAGGGGTATCTTGGTGAACCTAGGAAACAGATATACTCAAATAGATGACTGGGATACATGGATAAATAAAATGGAATTGTAAACCTAATATACATCACTATAGTTCTGAGCTTCCCACTCGAGATCTCCCGCACTCCCTGATTCCTTTTATTTCTTTATTTTTTGATACAATCAATGATGGCACAATTTATAGCCAGTTACAGGGAGAGGAAGGGACAAGGAAGAGGAGTGGAGGGAACAGGTTGAATATATAAAACTCCCCAAAACGGGACGATAAACACTAAAAACGTATTGTAAATTAAGGATGCAAGATGAGCTTTCTCTCTCCAAAACAAGTAAGGGAACCTAGACTGATGTACAAAAATACCCAATAAGATTAAATTTTTAGGTGGGGGGGATCGGGGAGGGACACGGTGAGTTTAATAGAAACAATAGTACAAAGAAACACTTAATACATTTCAGGATATGTTCATGATGACAAGAGTACCAAGGCCTGAATCACAGATGCACCAGGAGAAAAAAAAAAAAAACACTAAGCTGGTACACACAAAAAAAAATCGTAATTTTAGTAATGACAGGAGGCGAGTATTTTGCATAATCTCTCTTTACTAGCTCCACAGCAGCAAAGAAACACATAGGAAAAAAAAAATAACCAATCACAAGAGAGTAGGATGTACATGAGGTATAATGACCTAATCACTTCTCTTTCAGAAAGCAACATCAAGCAGAAGCAAACATATAACAAGCAATAACAATAACTCCTAAATCCAACATCCGAAGGAGCAAACTTCCAGAGAATTCCACACGAACAACCAAAAAGTCTTTAGGGACGAATCAAACATTCTACTCTCTTGTGATTGGTTCTTTTTTTTCTCTATATGTTTCTTTGCTGCTTTGGAGCTAGTAAAGAGAGATTGTGCAAAATATGAAGCCTCCTGTCATGTTGTAAAATAGTAATTTAGGGAATAAGTTGTCTCCCTAACAGGACAAAGAAAGATGAATAATGTCATGTTTCCAATTATCAACTATTCTAAATAGATTGAGAGATTTTTAATAAAATAATATTTTTTACATTTAAAGAGAATGTAATTTTACATACCATTGTGAACAAGGCAGTAAATACTTTGCTGCTTCAAATTATCCTTATATATCTAAAATTATATACAAGGGGGATATCTCTAAAACAAAACACTAGAAAGATTAACTATGTTACTATTTAATCTATTATTATTTTACAAAATATAACAAATGTAAATATTTTTCCACAGATTTTACCTGTTAACATTTTTAGCACAACAGCACCTGATGTTGTTATATGTCTATCAGTGAGATGTAGAGGTGTTACCAAGATTTCAATACAGCAAAAAGAGGCGATCTTGAGATACCACTTCGATTGCTGTATCAACATAACATTTACTATAATGAGATCCATGTCACTCAAGACAATCTCTTGAAAATGCTATCAATTAATTTATTCTGTAAAAGAATAGCGGAGAACATCCAATCTATACACATCATAAATTGTGTAAAACTGTTTCATGAAAAAAAACAAGCAAAGACAAAGACAAATACCAACACCATCACCACGTTGATAACAGATGATGCTGATAGAATATCTGCAACCAATTCTAGCCAAATATTTGGATAGCTGGACTATACAACCAATACTATACAACTAATACCCGGGTATTCTGCAAACACAACCTCCGGCAATGTATCTAAGGAATGTAAACTTCTACAGGCCTTTAAGACTTTGGATTACAAATACAATTACTACTTTGAACTTTAGATTAAAATTCCTCTCAGGATCCATCCAAGAATATCTTACTCTGGAACCTGGTGTTCTTTTTAATTCTTTCCCAGACAAAAGCTTCTCTCATTTTAAACAACCACCTTTACATGCAAAGATCGCATTACGGATGTTTTATCATTACAACAATGATCAAAGATGCTGGGAGCATGAAAACCTAAAGACTGTTGGAGAACATTGGTTTAATTATTTAAGAACGAAATGCTCTACAATGCCCATAGTTTAATGGAGAGGGTGTTATGGGCAACATTTAAACTGTGTACTTTGTCTTTAAGAGATATTGCAAACTGACAAGGTGTTAGAAATGGAACATATTGGTTTTTCATACATGTTTCTTTAAGCAATAACCTTTTACCTACTTTCAGTGCATAATATGTTTACGCCATTTTGTCCCAGACGAAATACAATAACAATAATGCATAAAAAAGCTTCAGGGCTATACTACAAATCTTTCAGTACATTATATACTGCGGTAACCCCAAATAGATAAAGATGTTCAGACTTTAAGATGCCATGATGTGTGCACCCTTATGTTTTAGTTATGACGTTGTATTTTTGCCAAGTTAAGGGAGGTTCCTAGAATGAACAAAAACAGAAGTATTACTTTTTCATATATGAACTACGGTAACCCTAAAATGAAAAAAGGTATAAATATGTGTACCTTTTAAATGTTAGGGCACAGAGGAGAGATTTGTTGACACCGACACTGTCGCTCCATATTAGAATGACTGAAAGATGTTGACATGTTCAAAAGGGTATGTTATTCTATTTAAAATTATATTGCAAGCATATAGTTTAATCTTATAAACTCTGCTATAAATTATTGTAATGGATTTTATATGTCTAAATATTTAATAAAATATCTAAAAGACAAAACTTTATTGCTTCCAATACAATCCTTATTTTATATTGTATTCTCAACTATTTATATATTTTAAATAGAGGGTCTCTTACTAACTATATAATATTATGGCTAAAGATACCTGTATGGTTAGCACTGCTAAGTTCTATGCTTTAAGACGTTATAGTGGTAAATGAGGAACCAGCTGTGGTTACAAGAGAAGCCCTCGTTTAACCCTTTCGGTTAAAGAGTCTTCAGGCGATAAATCCAGAAGCTCTCATGTTATCTCAGAAACCTGTCATAATCATCCCTTCTTTGGTTGCGTTTAACCAGTTCCAACCGACAGAAACAAAGTCTTTGGGAATCTCCTGAGTGAAATTCCTTAAGGTGACAGGCGATGGGGGTCTCTATGCTTAACTTGGGAGACATTACATGTTCCTTAATCATTTCTTTGAAAGGACAAAAGATCTTATCAACATATTTAAGATTGCATACACAGGATAAAAGGTAAACCAGACCAGCGGTGTTGCAATTAAAGAATGTATTAATTTTGAAGGACTGTTTACCTTCAGTGTCAGTCATGTTCTTAGAATCACGTTTGATAAACTTGCATGCCACACATCGCCCGCACCTGAAGGAACCCACGAGGGGACTAGTAACCCAAGTTTGTTTGATGGAATGTTGGATTTGGAAATGGCTAAGAGATAGAAGATCTCTCAAGTTTCTACATTTACGTGCCGTGATGTTAATGTGGGGGCCCAGAATTTGTTTGAGGTGTATATCTTCAGTTAGAAGAGGCTAAAACTTTTGAATACCTTGTTTCACCCAATCCCAGCCTGCATCATATGATGCAATCAAACGTGGTGAATTTGTGGATTGATCAGGAGGGCGACTCCCAACTAGAACACTTCTACCAGCCTCCAAAGCTCTTCTATAAGCTTTTTTTGAGGCATTTGTTGGGGTAGCCCTTATGCTTAAATTGCTGCCTTAGGACCCTAGCTTTATTTTGGAAGTCCTCAATAGTACTGCAATTTCTACGGACCCTGAGGTATTGTGTTTGTTTATGCCCTTCCTCAGAGGCCTAGGACGAAAGCTATTCCAGTATAGGAGGCTTTGGGCTTTTTGAAAAGGGTAGTTTGAATAGTTCCTTGACTTGTTAATGAGATTGTTAAAGTTCAAAGCTCCAAATTCAGAAGTGAATCTCAAGTTTAAATTGTTGATATTGAGAAGTGTTACAAACAGATTAAAATCCTCGAGAGTACCCTTCTACACAACCAGAATATCTATATACTTACCCAAAGGTGTATCATGGGGATGTATGATGAAAATTTGTCTGACTTAATGATGACCTCTTCCCGCCAATCCCATCGCAGTGCCCTACACCTGGTGGTAAAATTTGTTGTTGAAGAGGAAATAATTGTGCAAAAGGATAAACTCGAGGAGATTCAAAATTAAGCTCGACTGTGATTGGTAGTCTGTCCCCCTTTTTTCGAGGTAGAATTGAACATGTTGGATTGCTCCTTCAAGAGGTATTGAGGAATACAGAAATTCCACATCCAGACTGCAAAGTGCTGCTGATTCAGGCACATTCAGATCAGAGAGAAGAGCCAGGGTCTGCTTAGAGTCTTGGATGAACGAGGGTAGGGATTCTACATACGGTCTTAAGATTCTATCGGTATAGATACTCCCATTTTGCGTAAGGCTATCAGCCCCGGATACTATGGGGCGTCTGGTGGGATTTTGAAGATCCTCATGTATCTTAGTCAAGCAGTAGAAGGTTGCTATCCTTGGATTACGATTTAAGATGAATTCATATTCATCTTGAGATAGCAATCCTCTGCTGCAACCCATATCTAGAATTTGTTTGTATTCATTTAAGAATACGTTAGTGGGATCAGATTTTAGAATATGGTATGTATCCCTGTCCTCAAGAATCTTATGAGTCATCTCAACATAGTTTGCTGAATTCATGACAACAATGTTGCCCCCTTTATCGGCAGGTTTTATAATGATTCTGTTGTCTTTTCTGAGTGACTGCAGAGCTTTGTTTTCATGTTTGGTTAAATTCATGTTCGGATAGAATTGCAAGTCAACCGTTTTAATGTTGTCAATTTCAAATGTTACTGCCTCTAGAAATAGCTCAATATTTCGGAAGCTGCCTATATTTGGGGTGAAACGGCTCTTAGATTTCAGATCTGTGTGTCTGTGAGTAGCAGTTTCGTTGTTTTCTTCCAGTAGAGACACAAGAGTCATTAGACAATCATAGCCTCTACTAGGCAGGCCTAGATCTCTGGCCCTTCTCTCTGTCTGAAGTTTGTGGTATTTGTGTAAAGCAAGTTTCCTGTCAAACAAATGTAGATCTTCAATCCATCTAAACTTGTTAAAAGCTGGCACCGGTACAAACGCTAAAAATACTTGTAAAAGGTTCAACGTTCATGATGGCTAAGAGTACGACATGACAGGTTGTAACGGATCACCTGGCACCCCGACTGGGTACCTCCGTTGATGGATGCTCCTAGCGCTTCCAGAGGACTCCAAGCACTGCAGCAGACACCACAACCACCGAATTGTAGGAGCATATGAATGCTCTCAAGCATTTGAATGCTGTAGACAGTTGAATAGGAACCATACGAATAGGTTTACTCTCCTAGCAGTCAAACTGGAACAGCATACAATAAATCCTTCCCCCAATAATGAGACGACACTTCACTTTGAGGGTTAAAACAGGAACTCTCTGTACTGTCACATACAGTCTCTTTTATTCCCAATCCACAAACATAGTACAGCCCACAGGGCGTTGCAAAACAACCAATCAATCCGTACAATACACCCAGACACTCCCACACAAAATCCTCCCCTCTGCAGGTGATATGATTACTGAACACAATGGGTAATCTCATTATCACCGGCAGAGGAATACAGTTTTTACACAATATTTCTAACTTCTAAAATATACATGTCACAAACATAAAACATACATTTTCATAATCAATCCATTCAGGGGAACAACATATTAAAAAATGGCACGAATCAGACCAGGGGTTCAAAAGTTAAGGGAAAGTCCTTTGTGACTAAATGAAGCATGGCTTTCTGGCCCAAACCAGTTTCAGAGTCTTCTATCCTGGAGATAAGTAATTCAATTATCTCCCAGGACAGACACAAGACTCCATTAAGCACATGGTTGCAAAAGACACAAAACACTTTAAAATACATAAAGTCACATTTTACACATAACACACAGACATTTCACATATCCCCAGATAGCTGGGATCTGAGTGCACATTATTAGATGAATGGCACTCAGATCACACAAATAAGCCTTTCTGCAGGGGAAATAAACAGTTTAACCTGCAGGGCCATAGTCCAAAGGGAGCAGGCGAGCAACCAGGCTTCTCCAGTTCACAGTGGCGAGGTTGGTTTCGCCACACTTCTCCCCTTTACCAACTAGACTAACAGGGTATCTGACCTCCTGCCGGTCAGTGCCCTGGTTAGTCCAGCAACCCACCCACAAAACAGAAACAGCAGTACAGCCCACCCACAATAACTGGTTACTACACCTGGGTAGAGGAGAACTTTGTCCATGTCCAGGTGCCTCACCACGACTGTGTGGGCAACTGTTAGGCTGCCTTGGTGGGTTGCTGAGTGGGCAGAGACCAGCGGTACTCTGCCCTGATGCCAGTGCTACCACGGAAGTAGCCTGGTGGGAGCCTGGTTGTGGGAGGGAGAGACCGACTGTCTCCCCTCTGGATACACCGCTCTGTGGCTGGGGAACAGGACCAACTGTCCCTACCCCTTGTGCTGTAAGTGCAGAGACTACAGTCCCATCTGCACTGTTGGGGGGTGTAACATCTCCCGTTGCTGGGTTAGGCTGCCGCTGGAGAGAGGGTGTAACAAGCTCCTCTCTCTGAACTGTAAACTGCCGCTGGGGAGAGGGGGTATCAGGCTCCTCTCCCTGACACTCTCTCTGCTGGTGAAGAGGGGGACCAGCTGTCTCCCCTTTCATTATTTTGTCCTGTGGTTGGGGTGCGAGACTGACGGTCTCTGCTCCCTGCAGGACACTCTGCCGCTGGGGAGGAAGGACGGCACCTTCAGCTCCCTGGGGTACACACTGCCGCTGGGGAGGAAGGACTGCACCTTCAGCTCCCTGGGATACACACTGCCGCTGGGGAGGAAGGACGGCACCTTCAGCTCCCTGGGGTACACACTGCTGCTGGGGAGGAAGGACGGCACCTTCAGCTCCCTGGGATGCACACTGCCGCTGGGGAGGAAGGACGGCACCTTCAGCTCCCTGGGTTACACACTGCCGCTGGGGAGGAAGGATTGCACCTTCAGCTCCCTGGGATACACACTGCCGCTGGGGAGGAAGGATTGCACCTTCAGCTCCCTGGGGTACACACTGCCGCTGGAGATCTGGGCCGACCGCCCAGCATCCCTGTAGGGCCGGTAGAGAGACCGCCGTCCCATCTCCACCTGCCATCTGTGGGTCTTCCCAGGACCAGTCTGTGAGGTCCCTCAACATTTGCGAGTAAGGACCACCTGCTTCCGCACCTGGCAACTCCGGCTGCTGCTGGGGATCTGGGCCGGTCCCATCTCCACCTGCCTGTTGTGGTTCCTCACAGGACCAGTCTATGAGGACCCCTACTTCGGGTTCCTGCGGCCGCCTCAGGGGGAGACGGCTAGCCTCCTCGGATGCAGCCTCTACTCGGCTGCTGTAACACTCCTTCCGCTGAGCATACTCTCTCTCTTTCGCCAGCCGGAATTCTCGGGCCAGCCTTGTGTTTCGCTCGGCCGTGACCTGGTTCCAGATCACCCGGCGTACCTCCATGGGTAAATCATCCCCATACTGGGCCACTCGCTGCCTCACCTCGGCCATCCAATCATCGCCAGAGCCTTCCATACTTGTCTGCTTCAAGTCGCTGGATACCTCTGCTCCCAGGGGTGCTGCACGTGTGCTAGCGTTGCCCTCAATTTGTAACTCCACGAACTGTGTGTCTGAGCTGCTTTACCTCGCACTAGGATGCCATCCCACCGCTGCCACCAATGTAACGGATCGCCTGGCACCCCGACTGGGTACCTCCGTTGAAGGATGCTCCTAGCACTTCCTGAGGACTCCAAGCACTGCAGCAGACACCAAAACCACCGAACCGTAGGAGCATAGGAATGCTCTCAAGCATGTGAATGCTGTAGACAGTTGAATAGGAACCATACAAATAGGTTTACTCTTCTAGCAGTCAAACTGGAACAGCATACAATAAATCCTTCCCCCAATAATGAGACGACACTTCACTTTGAGGGTTAAAACAGGAACTCCCTGTACTGTCACATACGGTCTCTTTTATTCCCAATCCACAAACATAGTACAGCCCACAGGGCGTTACAAAACAACCAATCACATCACAGTTACATCCCACATATTCCCTCCCCTTATCCTGAGAGGAAACTCAATTATACATACAGTTAAAACATACTTTCTACCCAACTTTCATAACTCCAAAACCATACATCACATTCACATAAAATTACATATTCACAATCAATCCATTCAGGGGAACAACATATTCAAAAATGGCACAAATCAGACAAGGGGTTCAAAAGTTAGTAAAAAGTCCTTTGTGACTAAATGAAGCATGGCTTTCTGGCCCAAACCAGTTTCAGAGTCTTCTATCCTGGAGATAAGTAATTCAATTATCTCCCAGGATAGACACAAGACTCCATTAAGCACATGGTTGCAAAAAGACACAAAACACTTTAAAATACATAAAGTCACATTTACACATAACACACAGACATTTCACATATCCCCAGATAGCTGGGATCTGAGTGCACATTATTAGATGAATGGCACTCAGATCACACAAATAAGCCTTTCTGCAGGGGAAATAAACGGTTTAACCTGCAGGGCCATAGTCCAAAGGGAGCAGGCGAGCAACCAGGCTTCTCCAGTTCACAGTGGCAAGGTTGGTTTCGCCACACAGGTTAACTATTTTGGTAGTGATATGGGATGGTGTATGAGATTTCAAAACCTCCTTCGTCTGCCTCCATTTCCCATATTGTGGGTGTGATAAGTCGCTTGTCGAGGTATTGGTTCTTCTTGGGGGGTCTATGGCTACAAAATTAACCCCATTTTTTTAAGATTCCTTCAGGTTTGTTTTGATTGGTTGTAGTGGGAGTGTGGGTCTGTGGTCGAGAATGGGCCCCTGCTTTACGGTTATCGTAATCTGTATCTGATGAGTCATAATCCGATGTAATCACATTGTCAGAATTAGTTCTTGTTCTACGTGAAAATGTGCGATACACATTACCTGTTTGGTAATCCTTAAGATCATGAATAAATTTCTGATGTTTGTGAGATTTTATTGACTGTTGATATGTCAAGATTATTTTTAAGTTTAATTTCTAATTGCTTAAACAAGGGATCTGTTTGGAACTGGTTTGTTTTTATCAATTTCTAGTTCCAAATTTTGATTAGTTTCCTAAAGTAAAATTTTTTCATATTTACATATTATCTCCATAAATGTATTTGAGCAGGTACCGGCCACAGACTCCCACTCCTTAACCGTTATCTGCAATCGATGAGGGGTTATTATGCACTCTCAGACCCCTGGGTATCATATCCTTTTTCAAATAATTCTCGAGTTAAGAAATTTCCCAACTAGCCCTTATTTGCTGCTTATATAGTCTATTTAGGACCTGAAATTATTGATTAATACCAGAAAGGGTATCTGAGGGGTTCAATTGTTCATTTGAGAAAATGTTCTCAGCGTCTTTGCTGTCTAGTTTATTTAATAAGAAGCCCGACATTGTGAGGCAATATTATATTATAAAATCTAATGGGAAAAAACCTAGATATTGAAACCTATAGAATATACGATAAATATACAAACACTATGAAAGAGACTCTAACACCGAGTCCGTAATGGTTGTGGGGTGATTAGGGCATAACCCAACATAGAAATCAATAAGAAGATTAGTACAAACTAGTGAGAAACAAGCCCATTACCCTTATTAAAGTACTAGTCCAACATTGGAATGCGAAAACCTTAAAAATATATAATTCATAACTTTTTTAAATTCCTATAAGGTTGATACAAAAACACACACAAAAAAACAGTGCCGGTAAAATGTGATAAAGTGAAAAAATAGAAAATAAATAAAATTGGACACGCAGATGGATTCTATATAGATAGTCAGAATGATCTCCCAGCTTGGAAATAGACTAGAAAGCAGGTGAACGTAACCTGATACTATATTGC